ACACCAAGGAACAAAGCCCACCTTGTCAGACGACTAGTGAAATTGGAGTACTCTGATGGCCAAAACATGATCGAGCATTTAAATACCTTCAAAGGTATTGTGAATCAACTAACGAAAGCCGACATAAAGATAGATGATGAGTTGCAAACTCTTCTACTCCTAAGTTCTCTACCCGAGAGTTGGGACACTTTAGTCGTCACTCTCAGTAACTCTGCTCCAGATGGAAAACTTGTCATGGATTCTGTTACAGATTCCTTGCTAAGTGAAGAATCAAGACGGAGGGAAAGAGGCTTCAACAACCAGTTCGAAGCAAATATTGTTGATAATAGAGGAAGGAGTAAGAATCGTGAAAGAGGAGGTCGTGGGAGATCACAAGCTAGATCAAAGTCTCACTCTAAACTAAGTTGTTATTATTGTGGCAAGCCAGACCATAGAAAGTTTGAGTGCAGATTCTTTAAGAGAGATCAGCAGGCTGGAACGATCCATCCTGATAAAATCGATCCAAAGAAGAAGGAAGATGGAACAACGACAACAGTCGTAGCAACTAACGAGAATTTCTTTCTTGTTGAAGAGGAAAACTATCTAAATGTAGCGTCTGATGATTGCATTTGGATAATTGACTCAGGAGCATCCTTTCATGTAACCCCTCATGAAGAATTCTTCTCATCATATCAAAAAGGAGATTTTGGTATGGTGAAGATGGGCAATCAAGTCACAAGCAAGATTGTTGGCATTAGTGAGGTGACTATGGTTACAGAGAATGGTTATAAGCTTGTGTTGAAGGAGGTTAGACATGTTCCAGACATGCGTCTAAACCTTATCTCGACAGGAAAGTTAGATGATATTGGGATGATAAACCAATTTGGATCCGGTAGATGGAAGCTCATTAAGGGAAGCATGATCATTGCTCGTGGTAAAAAGGAAGGCTCTCTGTATATGATGCAGGGAAAGATAAACAAGGGAGATATCAATGTATCTCAAGACATGAGCAAAGAATTGTGGCACAAACGACTTGGCCACATAAGCGAGAAAGGTTTGGATATTCTTTCTAAGAATCATCTTCCAAACATCAAGGGTCAACCACTTGAATCCTGTGAAGATTGTCTAGCAGGCAAACAAAATAGAGTATCCTTTCAAAGATCAGATGATGCAAGAAGAAGAAAGCATATCCTAGATCTTGTTTGTTCAGATGTTTGCTCTACATCTGAAAGGTCCCTTGGTGGTTCACAATACTTTGTTACCTTCATTGACGATCACTCTAGAAAAGTGTGGGTGTATCCATTGAAGACAAAAGATAAAGTTCTTCAAGTTTTCAAAGAATTTCATGCCTTTGTAGAACGAGCATCCGGAAGAAAACTGAAATGTTTAAGGACAAATAATGGTGGAGAGTATATAGGCCCATTTGCAGCCTACTGTAGATCTCATGGAATAAGACATGAGAAGGTACCTCCTAAGACTCCTCAAATGAATGGAGTAGCTGAAAGGATGAATAGAACGATTGCAGAAAAAGTTAGAAGTATGCTTTCTCATGCAAAAGTTCCCAAATCATTTTGGGGTGAAGCAGTGAGAACTGCAGTTGATTTGATTAATTTGTCTCCTTCAAAACCATTAAATGGAGAGATACCAGATGAAGTATGGTATGGAAAGAAAGCCTTCTATGGTCATTTAAGAGTTTTTGGATGCAGGGCATTTGTTCATGTTCCAAAAGATGAAAGAGCAAAGCTAGATGCAAAGACGAAGGAGTGCATATACCTTGGTTCACCAAGAGATGAACTTGGCTTTAGATTATGGGATCATGCTACTAAGAAGCTTGTTCGAAGCACAGATGTGGTATTCTATGAAGATCAAATAATCCACAACATTAAATCTAAGAAGCCAAAGACCATTGTGGTACACAACTCAGGGGGAGATATTCCTCAAATGAATTATAATCATGATTAGCCAACACAACCCGATCAGATGAATTATCCTGATCAGATAGAACAAAATCAAGAAATGCATGAAGAGCATATGGTAGATGATGATGAGATAAATCAAGAACCTCAATTGAGAAGATCAACAAGATCCAGACAACCATCAAAAAGGTACTTCTCAGGTGAATATGTGAATTTCACCGATGAAGGAGAACCTCAAAGCTTCATGGAAGCCATTGAGACTGATGACAAGGAGAAATGGATGCAAGCCATGCAAGAAGAATTACAGTCGCTGAAGGAAAACCAGACATATGACTTGGTAAAATTACCAAAGGGAAGAAGGGCGTTGAAAAACAAGTAGGTGTTCAAACTCATGTCTGAAGAGAACAACCCAAATCCCAGATACAAAGCACGAATTGTCGTGAAGGGGTGCCATCAGAAGAAAGGCATAGACTTTGAAGAGATATTCTCACCGGTGGTAAAGATGACATCCATTAGAGCAATCCTTGGTCTAGCTGCAAAACTATACTTAGAGATAGAACAACTTGATGTTAAAACATCATTCTTGCACGGAGACCTAGAGGAAGAAATCTAAATGGAGCAACCTGAAGGTTTTATTGAACCAGGCAAAGAACACCTTGTGTGTCGCTTGAACAAAAGTATATATGGCTTAAAGAAGGCTCCAAGACAATGGTACAAGAAGTTTGATCTCTTCATGACCCAACACAATTTCACAAAGACGTCAGCAGACCGTTGCGTGTTTGTGAAGAACTATGAAAATGGGGAATCCATCATACTTTTGTTGTATGTTGATGATATGCTTATTGTTGGAAAAGATAAAGCAAAGATAACTGCTCTCAAGAAAGCATTGAGCAAATCTTTTGCTATGAAGGATCTGGGTGCAGTGAAGAAGATTCTTGGAATGAAGATTGTTAGAGATCGCTCTAAAAGAATGTTGTGGATGTCACAAGAAGACTATATCATGAAAGTTCTTGAAAGGTTCAACATGCATAATGCAAAACATGTGCATGTTCCGCTACTTGGACATTTGAAACTTAGTAAGACACAATGTCCAAAGAATGACCAAGAAAAAGAAGAAATGAGCAAGGTGCCCTATTCTTCAGCTGTGGGTAGCCTTATGTATGCAATGGTTTGCACAAGACCAGACATTGCTTATGCGGTATGAGTTGTGAGTAGATTCCTATCAAACCCAGGAAAGGAACACTGGAGTGCTGTGAAATGGATATTGAGGTATCTGAAAGGAACTGCCAAAAAGTGCTTATGTTTTGGCAATGAAAATAAAATTCTCACTAGATATGTGGATGCTGATATGGCCGGAGATGTAGATTCAAGAAAATCTACATCTGGATATTTAATTACTTTTGCAGGGGGGTTGTCTCATGGAAATCGCGACTACAAAAGTGCGTTGCTTTAAGTACCACAGAAGCAGAGTACATCACAATCACTGAAGGTTGTAAGGAGATGATGTGGATGAAGAAGTTCCTGCAAGAGTTAGGCCAGAATCAAGAAAGTTATGTTCTCTATTGTGACAGTCAAAGTGCAATTCACCTCAGCAAGAATTCGACATATCATTCAAGGTCAAAACACATTGATGTGAGGTATCATTGGATACGTGATGTGTTAGAGAATAAACTGCTGCAAATAGAGAAAATTCACACCAATGACAACGGGGCATACATGATAACAAAACCTCTACCAAAAGAGAAGATAGAGTTCTGCAAACAAGCTGCTGGATTGGCGGCAACCCTAAACTAATCAAGGCATTCCCCTATGGCTGGAGGGGGAGAAATGTAGGGTCCAACCATTGCCACATGGCCACCATACATTTGACAAAATGGAAGGTTGCATGTGATGGCAAGTAGCAAGGTGTATGATTTACACATGTTGTGGTGCATGAGTAACACATGGTGTGGTGCATGTATTGCAAGGGACACTTGGTGTTTTGCATGAAAGGCAAATGACAAGTGTCTTCATGCATGTAAGGCAACTTTGGCTTGCCTCTCCTATAAATAGGATCATAAGCAAGCATTCACAACACACCACAAGAGAAGAACAACAAGTAGCAAGAGAGAAAGAAAGCCTTGTTCAAGAGAGAAAATCCTCATAGAGAGTTTCTTGTGAGAGAAATAGTGAGCCAATTTGTGAGAGTGTTTCTTACAAATTGAGAGATACATTGTAGTGAGATCCACCTAAGGGTGAAGTTGTTGTATTCCCATTATCATTATAGTGGATGTTTTAAGAGGCCCAAGGGTCCCGTGGTTTTCCCCTTCCTCACATTGAGAAGGTTTTCCACGCTAAAATTGTCTTTGTGTCATTACTCTTTTATTTCACGTTTCCGCTAAGTGCCTATTTTGAGTTCACGGAGGAGGGAAATTATGCAGACATTTCCCAACAGTTCACTCAACCTCAGTAATCTAAGATCGAATATCAAATATATGTGTCATCCAAATGTCAAATCACCATGTTACAAGATTGATGGCATTATATGATTACCCTGGCTAATTGTAAGAGTGAATGTGAACTCAATTTCTAAGATTGATGAAGAATTTGAAAATAATATTGGAGACTATCTCAAGTTGAGTGAACAAAATAAAAAATAAGAGTTGATTTTGGAAGAATATGAAAAGAAGTGATAATTATTCCGTAGGTTATATGCATGTTTTTTATTCTAAAATCTCAATGTTTGAAAAACACATTATATATTTTAAAATTCGAATGATATTTTTAGATTTCTTTTTAGAGATGTTCAAAAATCAGAAAAGTGACAAAATAATTTCTCATAGTAAATGAGATAAAGTGTGGATAGAAAAAAAATTCCTTTTTTAATAAATATCTTATCATAAAAAAAACCTTTAGACAAAAGATAAACTAAAAGAGCTATTTGAAATTTTATTTAAAATCTCAAGAAGACAAAAACATTATGGTAATTGCATAGCCACGTAGAGAGAAATCAATGTTGTGATGGTTGAAAACAAAGAAAATTACAAGAGAAAATCAAACGCAACAATTTGTAACATCCACTCCCTCTCTATCCTCCTTTCTTCATCACATTCTCTCTCGTTTTCAATGGCTCCTGCTTTCATTTCTGAACCTCCTTTCTCCTCCAAGAAGAAGAGGGTAAACCTTTCTCCTGTTTTCTCTTTTTCCCTTTTCAATTCTATTAACAATTCAATTCAACCCATTTTTGTTTTCTTGCATTTTTCAAACCCTTGAGCTATAAAAATTTGATTTTTGCCAAACCCATTTTCTATATTTTTGCATTTTCTTTTGTTGGGTTTAAAGGGTAGAAATTTCTCTATTTCTTTATCCGTTTTTTTTTGTTGTTGAAAATCTTCATTTTTTTTCATGGTTTCATATGTTATTGCATTTTCTGATGTAATGGTTTATGGCATTGTGAATTTTCAGACTAATGGCTCAGCGAAATTGAAGCAAATCAAGCTTGATGTTAGGCGCGAACAATGGCTTTCTAAAGGTGGCTCTATGATCTTCATTTTCACCTTGAAAATTTTGACTTATTGATTATGTTTTTCTTTGTTCAATCAACAGATGATAAGTTTTTATGAATGTTGAATGTCTTAATTCTATTATGTTTATAAGGGTATAGAGAATTTAGAGACCCTTGTTTGAGGTTTTTTCTTAACAAGTCATATTTTAAGGTTTCTAGTAATGTTTCTGAAAGTTATTTAAGAATCATAATATCAAAATATTCAGTTAAGCTTGAAGGTGTGTGTGGTGTCTGATACCGACACATGTAGTTACGTTCAACCACATCCTTTATCTCAACTTTGTCGGATACTGACACATGTTATTACGTTCAATCACATCCTTTATCTCAACTTATCATCACCGTCGTGCTTGGTGTCTGATACCAACACATATAGTTACGTTCAATCACACCTGTTATCTCAAATTATCATCACCGTCGTGCCTAGACATCTGTGTCTGTGTAGTGGTACTTCAGAGAGTATAAATCAACACATGTGAAACCTTCTATTCAAAGTTTAACCTTTAAACTTGGATGATATTCAAACCTTGGCAGGGACAGGAATTCTCAACTTCATGTTTCAAGCATGATGTTCATGTGACTGTGTTTTATCATTGATTCCAATTTTTCTGGTTATCGTAGATTAATTCAAACACGGCTAAAACATTATTTATGAGTTTCTTAAAAATCTTTTGAAAGTTGCTAAGTTCTTTATTATTAATGTTCATTGTTGAATATTCTGCGTGTTTCAGTCAAAAAGGGATGCAATGTTGACTCAAATGGAAGGGCTGATAGTTGTCCATCATCTAAGCACATTGCGAACGAGGAGAATCAATCACCATGCAAGGAAAACACGAGGAAAGGAGGAGAGGATAGTAAATGCACAATAGATAGCTCTATTCAAAGTACTTATAATCACAATGTGTCAAGGAATGGTTTTACCGGTAGCAGCAGGAGCAGCACAAGTACGTTTTCCTCAGGAAATCTCAGTGAGGAAGATGGATGCCTTGATGATTGGGAGACCGTTGCAGACACTTTATACGCAGACGATAACGAGCATTCCACGGTTTTAGAGACTCCTTCAGAAGATGAAATGAAGAAGTCTTATGCTAGTAATTCAGAAGCTGCTAACAATCACTCGATAAAAGAGTTCCGGTCAGCAGTTTCTGAATCACATATAAGTTGTCGAGCATGGAAACCCGACGATACTCTTCGTCCGAGGTGTTTGCCCGACCTCACAAAGCCGCATAGTTCTCCGATGAATACAAATTGGCATGGTAGCCACAAGATTGTGCCTTGGTCATGGCAAACAATAATTTCTCAACCTTGTCAATGTCCTATATGTTACGAGGATTTAGACGTGACAGACGCCGAATTTCTTCCTTGTTCATGTGGATTTCATCTATGCTTGTTTTGTCACAAAAGGATCATCGAGGCAGATGGGCGGTGTCCGGGATGCAGAAAACTATATGATCATGTATATGAAAATGTTGGATTCAATATAGAAGCTAATGCTTTTTATATAACTCAAACATGTAGTATGAGTACAAGGTGTGTTAGATCATAAGAAAATGAAAGATAATTGCTGAAATAAAAGTAAATGTTTTTCTATCTCTTGTGACTTTATCTACTGTCCCTTTCCCTGATTTTGCTCTTCTTTTACATTACCATGATTTTTGTTCATATCTTAATGCAGAAACTGTTATTATGCGTACAGAAATAATTCACATCCTAATAAATTTTGAACAAAGTTTAATTACAACATAACATAATAAATTTTGAACAAAGCCTAATTACAACATAACAAAATAATTGCAGTATCTAATAAATTTGATTCTAGATAGGAAAGTTGTTCTAAATAAGTTTTGAACAAAGTTTATTTATATTTTAATTTTATTTTTGTTAATCATCAAAATGACGTCGTTTTGTCTGAGAAAAAAATGCAAGCAATTGATGTGTCGATTTGCCAATTTTTAATGGTCTTGTCCAGTTGTGATAGTTTTATGGGAGTAGTCATTTTCAATTCCCCTTCTACACCATTTGACACCCATATTCTCCCCCAACAACTCTTTTGTCATAATACTGAGGACTAGTGTGACAACGTTGTAGAACATCTGGAGTGGTGATCGAACAATAAATATGGAAATTGTGTTGTGGTGAATCATAGACTGAGTCACCTTGGATCTTGTCATTGGAGATGGTTACAGAAAACAATTTCAAGGAGTGATTAGAACTCGGTAACAAAAAGGATTATAATGTCTAGAACGGTTAATAGAAGTGGTTGCGGTGGCGCAATGAAAGACATATGAAAAACATATAGGTTATTTGTGAGAATCATAAGACGATTTTCTTAAGCAATGCCACTATTCCGTAGTGGAACAAAATAGTGAAGTGCATCAAGATCCTTCACATTGGATGTATGCTTAGGCTTCAGAGGGAAGTCAGACGAAGAAGAGATTATCTAGTAAAGCTCCATCAAGACAATCGTCTAGTATCTATATTTCAATTATGGCTTAATTCATATTTTGGTCTCTTGACTTAATTTATGATTTCACGTAGGTCACTTATTTAATAAACGTTACATTTTAGTCCTTCAAAAACTATTATGTTAACCAATTTAGTCCATTATGTTAACTGTTAACTTTTAACTTTAAATGTTTTAGGTGAGACACTATTGTTGAGTGTCTACTATAGCCTTCATTATTTTTTTAATTTTAACCATTTGATCTTTTTGAAGAATTGTACACTGTTGGATCTTGACAGTTTATTTTGTTAAAATATTATATTATATTAGATTTGATTTGATTTAATACTTAAATATAATCTCAAGTTGTATTAGCCCAGGCCTAATTAGGGTTGTATATAAATAGTCATAGTATGTATCATTATTTGTAATAATTCATTCAATAAATCCTTATTTTTCTTATTCTCTCTCTTTCTCTCCTCATTAAAAGTGTCTCACACACTAACAAATTGGTATCAGAGCTCTAGTTAGATTCTTGGTCGTGTTTTCAAGAATCACACGTCATAGATCGTGTTTCCGGGATTGTGGGCTATTGTTGATCAATCGCTGCAAAGATGAATGGTAACGAAAATTTACCAAACTCCCTTCCAACTCTTGACGACAAGAATTGGCTTCGATGGACAAAAGAGATGCAATCTCCATTTGCCTTTCATGAAACCCTAGAAGTGGTTACTAATGGAGTTCATGCGCTTGGTGAAGATGCAACCGGAGCACAGAAAACCGCTCACAGGGATGCCAAGAAGAAGGATTGCAAGGCGATGTTCTAGATCCAATCGGCGGTTGATGTGACTAATTTTAACATAATTGCTCATGCTAAATTGGTGAAGGAGATGTGGGATATTCTTGTCAAGTACTATGAAGGAGGCGAGAAAGTTAAGGTTATCAAGTTGCAAGCTTTGCAACGACAATATGAATTATTGTCAAAGTGAGAAGATGAAAAGATTATAGGCTATGTGTCGAAGATGCAGAAACGCGTCCATCTCATGAAGGGTTGTGGTGAAACCCTAACTGATAAGATGATAGTTGAGAAGGTAATGTGTATGTTGACCTCTCACTTTGATCACGTTATCGTAACTATTCAAGAATCCAACAATCTTGAAACCCTAAAACTGAAAGATTTAGTTGGTTTGTTGGAAGCGCATGAGATTAAGATTGTCAAAAGAAAAGGAGTTTAATATTTGATACAAGCACTACAGACTCAATCGTGGAAGAAGAATGGTGGTTCCAACAAGTTCAAAGGAAAAATCGACAAGAATTAGAGCAAGAAGTCTTGGTCGAATCCTCACAAGAGTAAGATTGATGATAGAACTTCTTAATTCTCGAAAAGAGGAGAAAGAAATTCATATCAGAAAGACAAAGTAGAGAAAAGATGTGTGCAGTTCTATACCTGTGAAAAGTATGGTCACTTGGCCAAACATTATTGGTACAAGAAAGACAAGGGTTCGACAAAAGGTAAGGACGAAGGAGAGAACATTGCACGTTGAAATTCAGATGATTTTGATGATATGGTGGTTATGGCTGCAGTTGCAGATGACCATGTCGAATCCAAGATCTGGTTCCTCGTCTCAAGCTATTCGAATCACATGATTGGTAAAATGGTTAGTAGATTTCGACGAGTCGAAGAAGATTAAGGTGAAACTTGTTGATAATAGATCATTACCAATAGAAGGTACTGACAACATAGTTATTCAAATGAGTGATGGAGCAAAAGCCTTGATCAAAGATGTACTCTATGTCCCTAGAATGAAATGCAATCTGCTAAGTGTTAGACAACTAGTTGAAAAAGGGTTTTCAGTGGTTATGAAAGATGGAGCCTTAGAACTTTTTGACATCCATAATAACTTGGTATTGAAATATCCTCTGTCGAAGAATAGAACATTTAAGACCATGATCAGTTCGACTGAGGTACAATATCTAAAAACAATTGTCGACCACAAGAATAGTTGGTTGTGGAATCTAAGGTTTGGCCATCTAAACTTTATGTCGTTAAATCTACTGATCACTCTGATCGCGACTTTCTATGTCTAATACAACTAACTGCAAGTGCACAGTCTATCGCGTAGTAATAAAAGATATCGATCCCACAGGGACTCGTAATCAAACTAGTGTTCTCGGGAGTTACTATGTTTAGCTAGGTAGAATATGTTTTAAGGGAATAATGTTGTCACTAAAAGGGGAAATAAGATTACTGTTTGGATTTTTAATTAATTAAATCGATACGTAGTAATTATGTTCTTCAGGGATTTGATAAGTTACTGGTGTATGAAATAGTTTTCGCCGTTTACTTAAGCAGAAAGTGGAGATTTGAAGACTCTCGTCTCACAATGGTTATTGACGCTAATCATAATCCTAAGGGCCTAACGTACACTTTCGTGTTCCGTTCGGGGTTAAAACTACTTTTTGGAAATCTCTAAGTTCTAATTAGTTTTAAAGTGCTTTCGCTGTTATTAAAACGAATGCCTAGTGTTTACTATCTGACCTTACCGCAGCTTTCGCTTGTTGGTTCGTATCTTAATTAATTTCCCACTTTCGTGGCAAAACTACTTTAAAACAAGTTCTCGCTTTCGCGACGAAGTTTATTCCGTAAATCAATTTTTAAACACTTAGACCATAAGTTATTTTTGTGAAAAGAAAGTTTTCAAACAAGCGTTATCAAATCCCATTCGAATTATTACTACATATCGATTACCTAAGTTTAGCTAGACATGGAATTTAGAAAAGCAAAACATAAATAATAATAATAAATAATAAATTGCATTATGATAAAATAAGAGTCGATCAAAATGAAAACCTGTAAATAATGCCAATTGGCCTTTGGGCAGATCCTCCACAGATGTTGGCAGGATTCTGTCTTTAGTTCCAATTTGATCATACAGTGCAGTAACAAATACAGTAGAGCGGAAATGGGAATGAGTAGAATGGAAAGGGAAATAAAGAAAAGGGATACAATTGAAACTGGAGAAATGGATACAAATAATAAAAGGCTGGAAATTAAATTTGCTCTTGAAAATAAATTTGGGCAGCACTTCGTGGTATGAATGCAGCTCCCTTTTTGAAGTCCCCTGCTTCCCTTTTTATAGAGGTGGAATTCCAACGGTTACCTCTGAGGATGATGGACCTTGAGGCAGATAATTTAGGGAGTAGTGGACCATTTAATGGGAATTGGAACTGCTCTTTTGACGTGTAATCTGAGTGGGGCGTTTTTGCCTGCATGACGGTCGTCACAAGGTGTGACGGTCGTCACCCGTGTGACGGTCGTCATGCATCTGTGACGGTCGTCACATCAGCAAAAACTGTCTGCTGCGCTTTTCATTGTGTTTTCACTCCTTTTTCGTCCATATTTCATCTGGGATTGCTTCTTTTCTTCATGTTGCCTTGTTTAGACGTGATCGTTGAATACCTGCAAAAACATCAGACAAATACATGGAAATAACCCGAAATCGGATCGAAAACGGTTAGCTTTTAGTTGGATTATGCATGAAAATATCTATACGATTTCGTGTTATCAAACTCCCCTAAGCTTGAATCTTTGCTTGTCCTCAAGTAAAACGTGGAAAAGTCGGCAAGCACGAGGCTGCTTCTTCGTCCGCAGAGTTTGGAAAAACCGGGATTCTTGGTAGGAACAAGACGAGTATCACAACGACACTGGACTACAAGTCTCCGGAGGTCTCCCTTTTATGCAAATCGGTCTCAGTCATGCTACTGTATCTTGGTGTCAAGGTTCTCGTGGCAAGTTCACCCTGTTTGTTCTAGCGCAATCACATTAAGCCCGTTGTCCGCACACTCTCATGGCAAGTCGACCTGTTAGTGAATATGATCTCGTTTTTGTTTTTGATCTTCTTCATTGATCATAATTTGGTGTCATTGATTTTTCAATGAGTTTTTCGTGCCTTTGGGCTAAATGCTCGGGTGAGGAGCACCTAACTTAGAAGGAAACGTATCTTATATTTTTGGGCTTTTTTAGCTCTCTTTTCATGATTTTTCATCTTTTTGGAGATCATACACTTATTTGCATCGGTCGCTCGCTTAGAGGTGTTTTTAGG